AGATGTGTATAAGAGACAAGCATACACTGCTCATCAACGATACGTTTCTTTACTTCTATGAAAATGTGTCTGGCGGATTCGAACCTGCAACCTGTCGTTATCAAGGCGAGTATCATACCGATTAAACCATGGAGACCTACAGGATTTTTTAGTGGCATCACATGATATATTTTTGGAACTGCTTGCAAACTTCTTAACACGTTGCTTTCTTATTCAGCAATATTTTGTCCTGATCAGTCATCTAAGCACTGACAAAATAAATTCGCAACGTGTTACGATGTTTGTTAAACAGTTATATTTGTTATGATGCGTCAATAGGCCTATGTGTAGTACACTGAAGGGCGACTTCAAATTGTTTTTGTAGTATCCTAATTTATTTATGAAAGTTAAAAGTATATTTTCGGAAATTCTGTGTTTTCGTTTAAAAAAGGTTAAAGATGAATTTGTATCATAATGATCTCCGTTAGTTGCAGTGCATCGAGAAATAGCGCTATTCTTCTTTTCGTGTTAAAAAGAAACGTTAAAATCAGTTGCCTGCAATTTATTTTGAATTCCCAGCGGAACCGAATTGTCCAAATGGTTTATGAATTTGTTTTCACAATCGCAGATTCCTGTCCTTCATTGTTTAAAATGTTTAGCACACACTCTCAAGAAAAAAATGCATAATGATTAAGCTATGGGTTTATGTTTTTAATGGCATCACATGATTTATTTTCATTTTTTTAAAATTGTTTAAGATACAAAAAATGTAATTTGTGTAGCCAGTTGAAAACTGATTCTGAGTCTTATTAAAATGTAGTATCACTTCTTTTCGGCTAGAGATTACCACGGAATTTGATGTTGTAAATTATACGAATCTGTTCTTCAAATTCACAGTCGGTCAGGGATGGACTCTGCCCTAAGAATGTCGCTCTATTCGGACATTCATGGTCTTACACACCCCCCCCCCAACACACACTTTCTTAAAGGGCTGGATCCGCCCCTGCATAAGGAATGTCTACATCTATCACAACATTTAAGTATAATTCAGTTTTATTGTATTCTTTATCTCAACTGGTTATGTCAACTTTCTTAAATTTGATCTAAATATCTGAGTTTTAGACTTGATATTCATTATAATAATTTTATTCGTTTCACATTGTATCAATACTTTTTGAGGCATTGGTAAGTATAAAATGATTTAATGACATTTTCATTTTACAGTTTATAGTTACTTTTTGTGTATTAAATAAACCAGCATTATAGATCGGTCGGCTAATAGTGGTAGCCACGGTATGTGCGCTAAAACTGTTTACTGTATATTATAAAGAAATTGGTCCCTCCTCAATTCCATCAGTTGATCTCATTCTGTTTCAGAGGGACGGCTGAAATGCAAGTTTCAACAGTGTACCGGTACCGTTTTTCGGATAATAAGTTTTGTTTAATGTGTACGTGAAAGAACGCAATGCAATCTTCGAAAAGAGTGTGGATTGTCCACCAACGCACTCCCCAATTTACCACCTGGAGGACCCCAGTGGATGATTTTTTCGGACTTTCGTGTATATATCTTCCACCCCAAATTAAAATAACATTTTTATTTAAAAATTTATCAAATCGTATTGTCCATTGATAATCTAGATATTTAAGTCATGTTCTCCTGATTTTACAGATGATGATTTGCAATCAAAGCGACAGAAAATCTCAAAAAATATATCAGACGATATGAAGTCCGACGCCGCCATACAAGCAAAAGATGACATCAGTTGCAAAAATGCCAACAACGAGCAAAAAATAATACACCCACGGACTCGCACTCGGACCCGTACGACATTTACGGCATTTCAGCTTTACGAACTTGAAAATGCTTTCGAACAATCATACTACCCGGATGTACAGGTTATGGAAGAATTAGCAGTAAGGGTTAATCTGTCAGTGGTCAAAGTTCAGGTGAGACGATCAATCATGCTGTAATTATTTTGCTGCTGTTATATAAATAAATTATGATTTAATTTCTTTTTTGTTTAACCAAATTGATTTATTTTATTGTTTGCGTTAGTGATGTTTTGCCCTGACGTGTTATCGTACTGAAATACTCAGTACGTTCCCAAATACTTGCGAACAAAATTCAGGTTGGGAATCTCGACGAGACCTCCAGATAACTAGCCTGGTGTCATAACCACTAGACCACCAAGCTTTCGCTTAGTGACTAGTGTGAAACCCGATCCACAATAGCAGCGAGTACTGCAAATGTTATTTCGATGTATTTGCGTCAGGCACCATAGGAGTGATGTTTTGCCAACCTTACGTGTTATCGTACTGAATACTTAGTACGTTCCCAAATCAGATGACGCGAGGATCTGCCCGACAGGCGGGCTAGGCCCCGACGGGGGAGGGCTATGCGAGTGAAGCGAGCCTCACTTGGCTGGGGGTCAGCCGCCTAGGGGTCACCGGTGGGGGTCCAGGGGGAGAGGCCCCCCTGGAAGCTACGGATATTTGGTTTTGGGGAATTTTTATTAGTTATTTGATAGGCATCAAGCTACCGTAACATGACTTTTTTTTATGTCAAAATTAACTTCCAAAACCGAAAATTTTTCATGAAATAAATGAATAAAACAACGAGAAACAAAGAGTAAGCAATGTACTTATTTTCAAATCCGTTTTACATTTTATGTAAAAAAAAAAATCACCGTATTACATTACAATACTATCCTCCCATCATGGCGAAATCTAGGTTTTTCATAATCCATGTGATTGTAAATTATTAACAACAAAATTACGAATAAGAATAATGTTTTACTGTAAATTGTAAGGCCACCAATGTGTGACATTATACTACGATAAATTAAGAAAACACAATGTCACCGGGAACGTCACAGTACAAGCTTTTAATTCAAAGTTAACTTATAAATTTTGGAAATTTCGCCTGAAATGTAAACCACAAGGTTGCTTCCCCGATCAAGATGTATTCCAAGCATCATGAATATCCAAACGAGCATTTGTCATGTAGAGCGTAAACCATTTTTAATTAGTCCCATTGAACAGGGGCTGATCCAGAATTTTTCAAACTGGGGAGGGGCATTTGAATTCTTTTTTTTTATTTCAATACATAACATTAATATGCACTGACATTTTTAAAAAATTGTGTCAAAACGCTGTTCTGCAGACTTACGTTCCAATAGGTGTTTGAACGTAATTAATTCATTGTGAAGAAGAATACCTGTTGTTTCATGGGCTTAATTTAATGTGAAAAGTAATATAGACGGTAGTCGGATATCTTACAATAAAATGGCGTGTGAATTTATGTTATTATATTATTATTATTATTATTATTATTATTATTATTATTATTATTATTATTATTGTTATTATTGTGTTTGTTATTGCGATGAAAAGTTAACACAAACAGTAGACAAATAGGTCAATGAAGGCGATATGGTCGCTAAACGAACAGACATGTAAATTTTTTTTTATCCCCTGACGGAATTAATCGTCTTCCCCGACCGGGGGCGAGGGCTAGGCTACCCCGACGAGGGGGCTATCTAGATGTGTATAAGAGACAGCGCCACCACTGTCCCAGATACTTGCGAAAGAAATTTGTGATTCAGGTAGGAATCGAACCAAGTCCTCAAAGTATCTAGCCTGGTGTAACCACAAGACTAACTTGTGCTTAGTGTCTGAGTTGGGCCAAAACATCACTCAAATCAGTATATGATAATAGTGATGGATACATGTAGGCCTACTTGACCAACTAATAACATAATGCGACGGATGAGTGATCTGTTTGTTGCACACGTATCAGGTGTGTGCCCTCTGAGTCAGCTTTGCAGCTGCATGTGCTACCCTATTAAAATAATGCTTAATAAAAATAAATGCATTGCCTTTCTACATATTTTGTTTAAAGGTATGGTTCCAAAACAGGCGAGCAAAGTGGCGGCGCCAGGAGAAAGAAACGGCACATGCAATCAAACTTCAACACGATTGTCCGCTCAACTCACTTCAACATAGCATGTCGGCAAGTAAGTCGAACATCCATCAGCGACCAATCAAACCGTGGTTTACTTCGCCATTACTAGGTTCCACTGGTTTTTACTTGCAGTATCCAAGAATTCTACCTCGTCAACCGGACTTAACTCCTCTAAGACCCTGGAGCGCTGCGGGATTTTCTTTATTTCCCTCAGTATGGGATGTCAAGCTATCAAGAACAGGCCAGCAAAATATTACCAATACTTTGGCTTTGCCCAGTAGATGTTTTCCGTTGCGTGATACAATTCACGACGATAGTTGTAAATAACGCAGTTTTCATTACTAATGGTTTACGCATATTTATTACACATAGTTCATGACAACAATATCCAATAGTATTAAACATAATAATACGTAAATGAAACCCATTATGGATATATTTTTAAGTTTTCCAAAGAGTACAGGTTACTTCATGGTGCATACTACTATATGTATTAGGACGGAAGGGAAACACAGCTTAAGCTTACGTTTTAATGAAGACCGCGAAGTAAAAAAAAAAAAAACCGCGCGACGGATCATGTTTTAATCAATGACCATCTACGCAACGATCCATTGCCACACTGAAAATCAACAGCCAGCGTCACGTCAACAACTGCAGTGATTGAAAATCATTCTGGTAGCTCCAGCTAAGTGTTAATTTAACAAAAAGGCAGTACATACCAATTTTAACAAAGCACAGATCAACTTCATACAAATTTACACATCCAATCTTGTTAAGCCAACTCCTTTCCCACGATATGTAGACATCACCAAGTATACTAGTAATTCGATTATTCTAAAACATTTGTTTCCAATTGTGTCATTCTGGTGGTGAATTAGCAGTACACTGGGAAACAGTCCCATATTTTCTTCTTCGTTTTTCAACGTTCACATTGGTCATATAACACGGGACCAACGGCTTAAACGTCTCATCAGAAAGACGCCGCCCTATATATCTTTAATATCAGCTATCTATCTGAAACACAAATATACTAGCGATTTGAATTGAACTAGGGGCCAAGATCTGAAAGAATATCCATGGTTCAGGGTACACACAGTGCTACCACCAGTTAAAAACCGACTGAGATGCTGCTCTCATCACTACATTCAATCCCAAAAGGAGCAATAATTGTTTAATCATAATCATTTACGCACACGTTTTGTCTCTTTCATCAACAGAGTAATTATAAAATTCGTATTTGTTGGCGCTATAATTGTCTAGGTCATGCGTCAGAGAGCGCTCTCTGTCGGACCACTTTCCCACTGGTGGGAAAGTGCATTAATGATAGGCCTATAATGTGCCTGTGGCAACAAGACCATAACAACTTTCCAACCTCCTTTATATTCCAATTTAAAATGATTAATGAGGTACGTAAATTGTTTTATGATCATTTTTGAATATTTTCATGGTATTTATATTTTAATATAATTTATTTTATTCATTTTCGTTTTGTGGTGTGTGGGTGGTGGAGGAAGAAGGGTCTGCGGTCTAATAATAATAAAGGTGGATAGGGCGAATTTTTCACAACATTTTCAATGAAGGGAATAGAGATATTTTAATAAGAACTTAATGCCTAATCTCCATATATGCCAAGAATAGTTGCGGGGATATGGAAATCGCGCAAAAATGGATTCATTTGTTGTGGATAATAATTATTATTAAATTCTTAATAAAAACATGACTTGTCATAATTAAGAAAGTATGATGTTTCAAAATTATGATGGTACTGATCAACGATATTTTGTAATTTCACTGTTCCCTGCTCAGACATGCATTGTATAGATTTATTACGATATTACCACCTCATATTCTCTTCTCAATGTTAGTAAGAAGGTCATAACATTTTTCCTAAAACCATGCTTCCAATTTGTTAATACTTTTTAGTAAAATTTATTTAAACTTAATTCTAGAAAATTAAAATGATCAATGAATCTAAGGTTGATAGGTCATAGGAATATATGTGAAATATGATTTTTAAAAATCGCATAAACAACTTGGATAATTTTATTATTCCGCAGTTCGTAAGGGCTACGAAGAATCTTCCATTTAATATTAAGATGTCTTTAAATTGTAATGTATTGAAATTATGGTTATGTGCTTTTAAGTGTTATGTACTTGATTGTTCTATAATCTCTGAATGTCAGTGAATTTTAAATTGAACATTTTAATAACGTTCAAAACTTGAGCATAATATCAATCGAAATATCAATCGAAAGAAGAGTACAATGCTAAATAGTATATTATGATAAAAATTTTCATGAATTATTGAATATTGTAAGTGTTAAATGTTTTGAAAATAATAAACATGTATTATTTATGATGTGTGGAACACGAACGTTTTATGAATATTATGTATATGAAGTGAAAGCACGAATAAATGACGTTTTGTATAGAGATGAAAACAGCATCCATCCAACATTTTTTGTGGTAAAAATTCATAAGGGCTTCCAATAAAAAACATTAAAAATGTTGGTCAGTTTAGTAGCCCTACCCTCTACCTAGATGGAAATATGGTTAAAAAATATACATCATTACATATCGGTAATTTACCAACATGACTAAAGGTACCTATCGACAGATACCAGTGTGTATAAAAATATATTACACCGATATTGTGCTTCGCTTCGTTGCTCATAAAATATTATTATATCTTGCTGCATAAAGAGGTTACAAATAAAATATATAAATATTGTTACATAAACATATAAAAATATTAATGGCTACAAGATAAAAAAAAAATACAAGATTAATAGAAATTATTCTCTACTGCAATACAGAGCATCCACATTCAATATTTCTCAGAAAAAACTTGAACTCTTGAACAATGTGTTTGAAGATGATCTTTGTCTTCTATCAGTAAATCTACAACCTGTTTTTCGTTTCTTCAAAAATAAAGTTTTACATACAAATAAATATGCATTATTCATTTCACGATCTTCAGAATATTTATTGCTAATTATCATGCTTTATTACTTTCCTATCATAGTTTATTTGTGTAGTTATTTTTATTATTGTAAAATCGTTGTAATTATTCGGAGTTTGCACATTTTAAACCACCAGAAAATTCCGGGCCTTAATTAAATTTTCTTTGTAAGAATTATACGATTTTTATATGTTGTCTAGAATATACAAAACTTGCTATCACAGACTTAACATAGAAATTGTCAGAAGAAATAGATAATGGCAATATAGTTTTTATTTTGGACTTTTAATAAAAGCATTTGAAATGGTGAACCATTACAAATCATTTAGTAAGTTAAATCAAAAACTTTTAACTGTACCAGGAAATTTCTTATAAGTGCAATGTAGGCCCTACCTAACACTCATTTTAATCTACTAAAATGTGCAGCAGATAATTTGAACTTAACGCAAATGATCGTTTTGTGACTAGACGTTCCAATTACCTTACTAATGATGGAACAATAATTGATCACCTTTATACAGAAACCAGTATTGTAAAAATTATCTCACCACACCCTGAAATACCAGGTAGTGACCATGATTCTTTTTGCGTTTTACCTAACTAGCTTACTGGTTGAGTTCTCTTCCTTAAAGACATTTCCTCCAGTATCAAGAAATGTTTACTGTTGTTACTAGAAGAGCGAAAAAGAAAGCAAAACATCCATGGATAATTTAGAAATTCTTAAGATTAAAAAGATAGCGAAAAATAAAAACAACATAAATAATTGGCATGCCTACAAAAACTATCGTAATAAACTTAAATAGGAAACACGGAAATCTTACCATAAATATATTTCTGAACTAACTAAACGATGCTCTGACACTTGTAAAGCTTTTTATGGGTTTGTCCGCAAGAAGAGAGCCAAACCTATGGCAAAAGCATCAATTAATGAATGCTTAGTTGACGATCCTACTATTATTGCTATTTTCTTCCAATTCTATTGCTAAATCTTCCTTAAACTCCAATTTTAATCTTGAAATTTCGAGTAAATATTGTAGGAATCATATTGGATACTCTTCCTATCTCTAAAATTCAAACAAATCCTCAAGAAATCTTCAGACCCATTGATAATCTCAAATCATGTAAAGCCCAAATTCCGAATGGAATAACCTCAACTGTTAAAGCTGTCAAAAATCCTCATTTCTGACCCTCAGAAGTAAACCTGTTTACTTAACAACCGGTATTTTTATCCATTTAAATTCTAGACACATCGATCATCTTAAATGTATACACTCTTACTTGCGTACTAATAGTTTTAAAACGTTTTTAAAAACTTCCCATTGATATCTGAGATAAAAAATTTTGGGGAATTAATTCTTTTATCAGAAAACTATTTTACACTCTAGCATCAGTACATACACCCAACTGGACTCATGAACAAAGGAACACAACAGCTGTGTGTAATTGTCATTTATTAATTAAATGACTAAACAAGTAAGCTCCCGTGTAAACATCATTTAACTTTCAAAGTACATTATAATTGTACATTAAAAGTACAATATCTTAAAGCACCATTAAAACACTTTGGTATGCTAAAACAATCTATATCTAAATAATACAGGGTTGATAACTGTAGAGGGAATGAATTTTACCAGAAACCTGTAAAAAAACACATGGCCATAACCAGGGAACAGTAAAATTACAATTTCACTGTTCCCTGCCATAACTCAGCCTATTGGGTTGGCACCCCAGAAGAACGTAGTTAACATTCCACAAAGCTCAAGCAGGTTAACAACTGGCCTTGCCTCAACCACCATACAATGTAACATCTACCCCATAAAGCCTATCGGACAGACATCTGAGGTTTCTATGTCTCTCGACCAAAATTGCTTTCTATTTATACTTTTGTTTTACATGATGTAGACACACGAAACACTTTTGTGAGGTCGCTTTTCGTGGATTATTCGAGTGCCTTCAATTGTGTACAGCCACACTTACGAGTCAGCAAACTTCTAGTTTTAACGATAGATCCAAGTAAGACAAAATAAATCATATTTAATAATAGATGGAAAACCGATGGTCATGATAAATTAATGATAAATGAGCTGCCTGTTGACCAAGTTGAAGAATTTAAATATCTCGGTACTGTAAAAGATGAAGATTTAAATTTGTGCTCCCATATTAATTCTATTTTTTTTAAATCTAACCAAAGGCTTTAATTTTAAAGAAAACTCAAACAAAATAAGGTCGATGTTACCATTTTAACTTTATTTTATAGCTCTGTTATTCAACGCGTTGTGACGTTAAGCTTGCTTCCGATCTTCGGAGGTCTCTCCGAGGAGAATAAGAACATACTTGAAAGTGTCGGGAAGCGTGCAGGCAAAATTATAAGCATGAAAATCCTCCAATTGATAGCATATATAAAGAGAGATCTGTTAGTAAGTAAAGTCAAGTATTAGTGAAGGGTCACACCACCTCTATATGTATTATATTTTTAATTTCTCAGGTTTTAGGATACGGCCACTGAGAGCAAATCATGTACGCACCAGAAAGTCATTTGTGCATAACTCCTGTTACATTTTTATTGAGAATATGAAAAGATTAAATCAAGGCATTACATTAGCAGCCTCTGAATAGTAACTGTTTTAGTTGTATTTTTATAGTTTTATTGTATAGGCCTATATTGTTTTTATATTTAACATGAGCTCAGTCAGCAAGAGGATTTTCCTTATCGGACAATAAAGATCATTTGTATTTTTTTTTTAAATTATTTTCCTCCTGTTTAAATTCAGTTGTTTAATTGGTCAATAAATATATTTTGAATTAAATTGAATTTTTAAATTGAATTGCCTACTTCTATGCCAAAAATTGTAAGCCAAGTTGTTGGCGGTACCGTTAAGTAGGTTAGCTAGGAATAAGAAATGTTGAAACGCATGTTTGCATTCGTCAGTCTGTGGTGCCCCAATAAAGAGGAAATCATCAAGGATGAGGCCCCATGCCGTTTAACTGGATTTCGTTCTGCATGATCCACTGGATCGCCTTATACTGAACAACTAACTGAAGCCTATTGCAAGAGCTGCTTACCCACATTTGGATACATTTGTCATAGTATAGAATTGATTATTCTATGTCAAGCCCAATATTGGTTGTGGAGAGCAACAATTTTTTTTTAATTTATTCTTTGGATGGGGGCCAAAACTCTGCTTGCACGAGTTTGGATATTTTCATGGTTAAAACGGCAGGCGACACCGTCATTTTAGTCGTGACATACACCTTTCGTTCTAAATGGCCGGATGGACGTGCAGATTTTCGAAAGGAATACCGATTCCATTAGGTTTCACCTAGTCTTTCTGCCTTACTATGCGCATGCAGCGATAACTCTCTCTTTATTCTTTCCAATTGGAGATTTACAGCACCCTTATTTTTTCGAAATGTTTCATCGTACAGGCGCCACGCCCCAAAAGGTGCATTACTATGCTTATCTAAGATTGCTAAAACAATATTTTAATAATTCGTATCTCGTATTTTACCCTTGTAAATTGAACATTTTATTTTAGCATTAATTTTGCGCTGCAATTCTTGTATTTAAATATTTATTTAACTTTTAATTTTTATATCTAATTAACTGTTTGACTGAGTTCAACTATGTCACAACCCGTATATAAAATAGGCAAAAAGGAGCAAGAACTAAAATTTTGAAACCTAATTATCTAGTCCATTACAATGATCCATGTATATACTACTACCTTTATAAATTGAACTTACATTGCTCACAAATGCAAATATTCCCTTATTTTAAGTCACAAATAGAGAACTGCTTGGCTTAACACTGGAGCGATACTATTTACTCCATCTGAGCATGTGCAAAACATGCCTAAGTCTCATTAGCACAACAGTAGTGCACCGACCACTCGCCCTGTCGTGCTGGACGAGATCAGTGAGCTTCCTATTCTGGTACAGTTAAAAGTAGGCCTATATAAATGTCATATAAATGTCAAATTAGGTATAATGATAAATTATGAAAACAAAAAAAAAGAGTATTCTATAAATGACAATTCTACATTGACGATTGTCCATTACATTGGGAAAGGAGCTATAGTGTACATAAATGCCATTATTTTGCCTTTGTTCATAGATATGGCGCGAGAGGGCAAGGGGTTTGTATTCTCAGATTATCTTGTTACTTATGTAAACGATTGCAAGTTCTACTGTTCACTTGGACACCGGCCTAATTGCAGATTTTACCATCTTATTCGATACTTTCAATTCATATAATGACATCGATTTACGGCTATGTAAACGAGCAAATTGACAAGATTGTAAACTGGTGTGATTTAAACAAATTAAAAGTAATTAACACAAATAAAACTCAGTATCATTTTTCGCGGTAAGCACAAGGTGGTCAATCAAATGGTGCAATATATATAAAAGAAACAAAATTGATGAAGTAGAATTCACAGCCTACACATTGGGGGGGGGGGGTAACTCTTGAAAAAAAATCGTGCATAGAAAGAGCACATTAATAAGGTAAGTAAAAGTATTATATCTAATGCTGGTGTGCTACTCAAATTAAAGGTCTTTATTCCTTCATCAATTTTGTTATCTCTATATCATTTATTATAATTACGCTTATTCCAAATCCTATGGACACAATGCAACACCGAGGTCCTCAATAAACGTCTGGGATTCGAAACTTAAAGGTCTGTAAAACTGTAACAACATAGATCGTCAAATTCTCGATCACATGAAGTGAATATCATTCCATATTTCAGATTAATTGAGGAAAAATGTATGACTTACCGTCATTTTTCAATTGGTCCGGTAGCTGTCTTGCAAGGAGCATGTGTGTGCTTCCGCATTTGCAAGCCGTGTCTCAGTCAGTTGTTTTGCCGTATTAGACCATTAAGACACTGCAGACTGTAACAAGTATTTATACAGTAGCTTATTGTTTGCATATTCTTACACACCAAGAACAATTCCTGAGTCTTATGTAAAAATGCCTTTTGTGAAATTTGTATGATTATTTTTGTTGTTTAGAAAAATTTGTGCCAACTTGATTAAATATGCATCAATATATATATATATATACGATCGCAATAGCGTGAAACTCCGAGTAGCAACATTCTGTTCCAGCGACCTCCAGTTCTATATATATATATATATATATATTATATATATATTGATGCAGAT